CAAAAATAGCCAAAATCCACTTGCTGTATTCGCGACAGGATGCGACTGAGTGACCCCTTCAAAGACGTTGAAGCGTCTCGACGCATCGAGATGGAAAGTATTTTTAACCTCGTGACGTCGATGCCACTATATTGGTCCTTTTCTTCTTGTCAATAGAAAACGTACAAGATTCTTTGGCTGGGGAGGCCGAGGCGAGAGCCGAGGTTGCGTAACGTCGGGGGTTGGATGGGCGCGCAGCGCCGATCGGGGGCTTTTAAGGGAAAAATTTGTTTACATTGTCGACGGCTCACGTGCTTTGGATGTACGTAAGTTGTGTGGGCTCGGGTTATATATTTTAAGCAGGCGCCAAATAATTATGCTCGGTAAACAATCAGTTTTGAAAAATGAGTGTTAAAAACGATACGGAGGTGCAGCCAAGTTACACAACGTCATTTGAAGTTTTCGGAGAGTATTTTTGAGCGCCAAGGTCTTGGCGATGATAGACAACGTGTAAAGTAGTCGGGTTTTATTGCTTTAATATAACTTTATCGGTTGTTGTGCAATTTGGCGATATCGGTTTAGTAAAATAGACACAAAGGTAAGTAACGGTAAGGCATCTCTTCACTCGTTGCTGTATTGCTGGTCCTCTAATCTGTGACAAGTCGCATTCGCGATTCGCTGCAACAGATGGCGCCACTATTGATTGTAAAACATAGATAAATAATACTACGTAAATAGAATGCAAACTCCCACTTGATTTTTGGTCTCAATAAACGCCCCCTGGTGCCTTGTGGCCGGTGCTAAAGCATGAACTACTAGATGCGTCATTGCTGCATATTTTATAATTAATATTTTATTTTTATTATCACTAATAATATCAAAAACACAAAGTAGAATAATATACAATTTATTAGTATTGTCTACGATTTTTTGACTTTAATTTTTTTTGGTACATTATACAAGCGTTTTGATATAATGCATTTTTATGTGTGGAAACTCTTGTATCGCGACCGCTTAAAATTAAATTCAAACCTTTTACAAACGTAAAAATTGTTAAATATATAATTTTATTACATATTTCACTTTCAATTAATTCCTTATGTTCACAATGAAACGAAAATTTGACATGATGAGATACTATAAACGAAATTTTGTTTTTGATGTTGTCGAAAAATGTACAATTGTTTAAAACGATTCTTGAAATATTATAAATTCTGTTAATGTTTTTTATAAAATCTAACTTACAATATTGCAATTTTCTGTTATTACAATTGTATTCTCTTATACGTATTAATTTGTAACATTGTTCGTCTTCCGAAAAATTGTTTAAAATTTGGGTTTTACAATATTCACACTTCAAATTTCTTAATGTTTTCGCAACCCAGCCAGACACATAACCAACAATACTTTTATGAAGATCTTTTTCTAAATTATATGGAGACAGTTTTGAAATGTACATATTCACGTTTAAAATTTCGTAACTCGTTTCATTTACTGAAGGTTGATTTATGTTTTTATCCACAAGTCTTTTAATATGAAATAAATCCGGTATGTTCGTTTTCTCACAGTTTGCGCCCACTGAATTTGAACTATAAAAATTGCGTAATAATAGAGATTTGAAACTTTCCTTAAATTGGGCTGCCGTTAGATTAGTTGCTCGATTTCTTTGACTTCTGATTTTGCCAAAATAGTTTTCAATAACATCTTGATTTAAACATCTAGGTAAAAAATATTTGCACCTGCCCTGTTCTACTAAAATTGTATGTAAATCCACAAAACCTTCTAACGTTGCAATCCAGTTTTTTATACACGGAGGTACTACCATTTTTCCGGCCTCATCGACGAAATACATACCTATCACCCAAAATTTTGATAGCTTCCTTCCAAAAATGTTTATGACCAGAAGATTTAAATACGCCCCCAGAAAATGGTTTTCCGCACCGTGATTGAAAAGTACTGCCATTTACACTGTCGAAGAGCTTGTCAAAAAATTTTATAATTCGTGCTGTTCCCATTGCCTCGTGTGTTAAACTGCATTCGGCTGTAAAATTAAATTGTAAATGAATCTGTTAATTATTTTTAAATTTGTATTTACTAGATTTAACCAATAGCGTAATAGTCGATGCCATTGAGTGACTCAAAACTTGTGTCGCATAGCACACCTTCATCTTTTGAATTTTTTCCGGAATTACGTGGAGATCCGTAATTTTCTGTAGAGCCCGTAATTCTCCACATGTTTGATCACTGTAGTACGCATCGATTATATGTTTCCAATTTGCAACCAAAATTTCCTCGCTTGTTTTCCACACTAAATTTTTAGTAAGCAGATTGTTCCTAATACATTTAATTAAATGAGGCGTGTCATATAAGGGAATAATTTCTTGATCCCCTAATAAAATTCTTCTTTTAGGTTCCATCCCTTTATGTATATAACGTTGTTTCGACTCCTTTAGCAGAGAATTTATAGCTGCTTGGTTTGGTTGGCCTTGATCACAAATTGTAACCAGAAGTTTTTATAATAGTTGTCAATATGTAAGATTTTGTAGACGAAAAAGAAAATGCAAAGTATATTGGCTGTTGCCATTTTTTAAACACTCCGCGAATGAAAAAAACAAGAACATGATCTGCTATCTGTAAATTTTGTTCAAATCCAAAATTTTGAAATCCGAAAAATGTATCCGTATATTTGTCATACTCTATGTGGGGCATTATGGACATTTCATCAAAAATTAATGCACATATTCTATCTTGGTTATTTAATTTTGAAGCAGATTCTTTAAGATTGTCGAAAATTATTTTGTTTATACCAACGTCTACTGGAATTTTGTTCAACATAGACATAATTGTTTGACGTGAAGGCAGTGGAAAAATCTGTCTCATTTTTCTATAACATCTCCCAGACTGTTTATAAAACATTAATGCAAATAATTTATCTTCAGTGGTAAACCTGCGACCCTTTGGTTTGACATTTCGTCTTTTTAATTGTGATAAACAAAAATTTATAGCATCCTGACTTAAAATTTTGCTTTCTAATTTTACTTCAAATTTGGAGTATAATTTCAATCGTTGGCGATACGAAGCTACCTTAATTTTGTTTCTACGGGCTGTACGCGAAATATTCCTAGAATTTGAATGTAAATTTAGTATTCGAGAAGATTCTTGGTTTAAAGTTTCGTTTAGGGTTTTTCTGGAATTTCGAGATACTTCAGTACAAAATTTTTGCGACTCCAGTATAGAAATAGGGTTTACGGGATCATGGGTGTGTCTTTCGGGGTCGTTCATATTATCTGAAATTATTGTAAAAATTATCTATGGCATTCACTTGCACACAAATATTTACCATGCATAATTTGAACTGTAGGAATGGCAGTATTTTTAAGTTTTTGATTGGGGCCAAAATCCGTTTCTTTAAAATGTACATCGCAAAGAAAATATCCATTTTTATATATTTTCGTGGGATCTAATTTGCCTAAATTTGGATTCCCTGTCCGTTCCAACCAAATTTTAAAACGCTCGTTGTATTTGTAGGGGTTGGGAAAACGATGGCGTTTAATAATTTTAGTGTTTAGACATTTCAAAACACTGCATAGTTTCATATTTTACGCTTTGTTATCACGTATAATCACACAAATGACACTTTTATACTAATCATAAATGACATTAGTTTTTTTATTGTTTCTTAAAATTGGCTGTGGAAGTTGTCGCCAAGTAATTTTTGGAAAAAAATACTTTACTGCTATCAGTGCTATCTCTTATTATGTGGCCGGTACATAAGCCTAGACACAAACCTGGGACACGCATTACAGCCGAGTTTGCATTCTATTTTACGTAGTATTATTTATCTATGTTGTAAAACAAATTCCACAAAATTAACAACATTTATTTATATATTTGCTACAACTCTCTCGTTTACAATTTACTTTCAACCTTTTCAACATCGTCGTCGTTTCTGAAGCCCCTATTGACTTCACCGCTTGTTGCCGCCTTCGTACTCTTACTTCTCTTGACTTTGTTATCTAACCGCTCATTCCCTAAGAAATGCTCCGTGATCTCAAACAAAGTCTTGCCTTCGGTCTCGGGCAACACAAAATATAGAATAACCACACCACCAAAAGCGAAACCACTATACAGCCAAAAAACTCCAGGCAGAGTTATCAAATTAACTATCTTAATAAAAATTTTGTTGGAAATGAAACCAAAAATATAACTTAGACCACCCGACAAACCTGAGCCTGTTGCTCTCGTTTCGTTTGAGTAGACTTCTCCGATTAACATCCAAGGTAGGATTCGAATACCGGCATGAGTGAAGAAAGCGGACCCTATGAGGAGGGTCATGGGGATCCAGGAGTTGGTGTAGGAGTTAGCAGGAGCGTCTGCTACAAGTTCCAGGTGTTTAACCCCGGCGGACTGCGCATAAATTGCAGCTAGAAAAAAACAAGAGCCGCAGCCTATCAAAGACAGGAAGTTCATTACGCGCTTGCCTACGTAGTGGATGAGACAAGCGCTTAAAATACACCCCAGAACTTGAGCTACTCCTAGAAATATAGTCGCGTAGTACTTGTCAATGGGGGCTTTCAAGGTGGAGAAAATTTTGACAGCGTAGGTCTGCAGGGTCGTCATCCCGGAAAAGTGGCCTAAGAAAAACGCCAACGAAACGAGAGAGTAAGGCCAGAGGAAGTTTCGTCGCAGATATAGTCTCCAGTTAGCCGTCGTGTCTTCTTTTCGCTTCGAAATTTGTTCGACGAGTTCTTTAAACTCGCCTTCTATTTCGCTCAGTTCGGTCCAGCCGCGCAGCCAAGCCAGACTGTGTCGCGCGTCCAAGTAACGATTTTTGGAGATGAGCCAGTGCGGGCTTTCGGGTACTAAGAAGAGGAGACTAGAGGAGATGATGGGTACTGCGGTACTAACTACAGCTACGGTTCTCCAGCTAAGAAATGTTCCTAATAAAAATTCAATTAGTATTCCTGAGATCACAGCCACTGTGCTCGTCGATGCTAAAATCCCTCTGAGACTCGGCTGAGTTATTTCAGCAACGTACGTCAATGTCTGGAAAAGATTATTAATACTAGAATGATGCGGTGAGGTAGGTGCGAAGGAGAAGCATGAAAGGAAGCAAAGCGTTAGAGTCGGGTCTCTTCATTCGGAACGTAGGCGTTGTTCACCTCGCCCTTCTTCATGTCTTTGATTCTGGTCACTTTGTTACTGAGCTTCGAGTTACCGGCAAAGTGTTCGGTTATGTCGAACAGAGTTTTACCTTCGGTTTCCGGAAGGATGAAATAGAGAACGATAGTACCGATGAAGCAGATACCAGTGTAGAACCAGAAGGTTCCAGGTAGGGTGATATTATCGACTAAAGTGAGGAAGATTTTGATGGAGATGAAACCAAAGATGTAGCTCACGGCGCCCGAGAAACCCGAACCGGAAGCCCGGGTTTGGTTGGAGTAAACCTCGCCTATAAGCATCCATGGTAGAAGTTTAATCCCAGTGTGAGTACAGAAAGCAGCTAGTACTAGAACCACCGTAGGAACCCAGCTAGTGTCGTCACCCTCACTAGCTGCCACCGTTCCGAAGAGTTCCAAATGATTAACATTGTTGACGTAAGCGTACACACCTGCAGTTAAGAAACAAAGCCCGCAACTAATCAAAGAAAAGAAATTCATGACTCGTTTCCCGGTGTAGTGCACACAGCAAGTACTCAGGATGCACCCGAGCACTTCGGCTACTCCCATCGCCACTGTGGCGTAGTACTCATCTATGGGAGACCTCAGCGAAGCGAAAATTTTGACGGCATAGATTTGTAGAGGGGTGGTACCGCTGAACTGGCTCATGAAGAACGCGAACGCGACGACGGAAAAAGGCCAATAGAAGTTCTTTTTAGTGAACATTTTGAGCTTTTCCACGAAAGTGGGTTTTTCTTTTACACTGGCACTGATTTGCTTGGATAGCTCATTGTACTCGGGCTCGATTTCTTCGACGGTGGTCCATCCTCGCAACCACGCGATACATTTTCGGGCGTCCTCGGGCCGGTTTTTGATTATCAACCAATAGGGGCTTTCGGGGACAAAAAACAAGAGGATGAAGGAAGTGACCGGTACCACGGCACTCACGAGGGCCACGGTTCTCCATTTGAGAAAGGTTCCGAGTAAGAATTGGGTCAAAAGTCCGAAGATTACGGCTACACCGGCTGTCGACGATAAGATCCCTCTAAGACTAGGGACGGTTATTTCGGCCACGTAAGTGAGCGTCTGGAATTAAGAAAAGTGGGTTATTGGGTGCGTAAAGATCTACGTGCCCGGGGTTAGTTACAACTAGCTAGGGTGCAATAAGAGAAAGACTATGGCACTATTCTTTATTAAAAAAACGATAAATCAGTCTTGTTTGAGTTTCAAAGTGGACTTTCGTCATGCTCGAAGGCTTTGTTGTCGACTCCCGTCCGTCGTACTTTGTTGTCCAGTTTAGTGTTACCTGAGAAGTGTTCGGTGATGTCGTACAAAGTTTTACCTTCTGTTTCGGGTAGCAGAAAGTAGAGTAAAATGGCACCGAGAAGGTTTACAGCAGTGTTGAACCAAAAAGTACCAGCTAGAGTGAATGTCGCAATCATGGAAAGAAATAACTTATTAGCCAAGAAACTAAAAATGTAACCGATAGCGGCTGATAACCCAGAAGCTGTGGCTCGAGTCTCGGTTGCATAAACTTCACCGGTTAAAATCCACGGTAGAACTCTAATCCCAACGTACGACAAAAACGCCGAACTGATAAGAAAGAACGTCGGTACCCAGTTATACGTGCCGTCTTTTTGCAACGTATTGTCTAAATTTTGGACACCCACAAGGTAACAGTAAGTACCCACCACGAGGAAACAAAGTCCCGAACCAATCAACGAAATAAAGTTGATGACCCTCTTTCCAAGAAAGTGTACCAAAGTCACACAAGCCACAGACCCCAACAACTCCACAATCCCCAGAATCACCGTAGCATAGTACTTATCAATAGGTGATTTCAGACTCGCAAAAACTTTAATCGCGTACGTTTGCAAAGTCTGCATTCCATTAAAGTGACTAAGAAAGAACGCTAAAGCCACAAGTGCGTACGGCCACAGGAAACTCTTCGCCACGAAAAGCCTCAAGTGCTCACTCCTCGACAACTTCGGAACCCTCGCTGTCCCCGGATCCTCAATCCCTATATCACTAGCCTTCCCCAGCTGCTTACACAACTCTTGAAACTCCAACTCGATCTCATTCAAACTCGTCCAGCCCCTTAACCACGCTATGCTTTTCCGCGCGTCTAAAAACCGGCCTTTGGTGATCAACCAAACGGGAGTCTCCGGTACGAAAAACAGCAAAACGAACGCAACCACCGGGACCAAACAGTTAAAAAACGCCACGATCCTCCACTTCAAGAAAGTACCTAAGAGAAACTGACTCAAGACTCCCACAATGACGGCCATGGTACTCGTGGACGAAAGCATTCCTCTCAAATGCGGCTGTGTTATTTCAGCCACATACGTGAGCACCTGCAAGGAAAGAAAAGAACGAGAGAGGTGAGAAGAAGATGGGTTAGTGACAGATAAGTAGCCTACGACCCTGGGTACTTACGGGTGCCTCCAGCAAACCTCCGGTCACACCCGTTATACAAAGCGCGAGGAAAATCTGCCACACGTCGTTGGAAAAGTAGAAGAGCAACCAAGCCGTTAAGAATGGGATGTTGACGAGCTGCATGGCACGTTTTCGGCCGATGGGTTGAGTGGCGGCGCCGGAGAGTAAGCATCCCACGGGAACACAGATAAGGTTGATGGAACCTGAAAGGATTAGTGGTGACTTTGTTGGTGAGGTGAGGGTCGTACCTATCCAGGAGATTGCTTCTTGTCCTAACGAAATTGACTCAGTTGGGTCGCTGCCAGATAAACTAGGGATGAGGATTGTGGGGAAGCCTAGAGTCATCCCGAATCCTAGAAGGAGCACATTTTTCACACAAACAGCCAGGATTTGGGGGAGAGCCTGGCGTAAGCTGGATCTGCTTTCAGATGGTGCGGCGAAAGGTGATAGAGTTTTGTCGCTGGAACAGTCAAGGTTGATGGGTATTGTCGACGAATTGTTAATAAATATGAAGATTAAAACTGTACCGAGATTAGTAATTATTTTAATGGGTTCAGACCATAGGGTGACCTTGCATTTTTACGACTATGTTAGTGGAATCCTTTGTCAACGTCAAGGTCTCGAAGGAAGACAGTTTTCATTGTTCTGGCACGTTTCACATAGAGTTTTGATTGTTTTTAATTGTAGTGCGTCGTAAACAACAATTAAGTAAAACGTATAATTGTAGCTTGAATTTGGTACTTCGGTTTAAAAATTTTACAAAAATTAAAGTCAGGTAAAACCCAGAATCTGTTTGTTTGATTACGGAATGTAGATCTTTCAAATTAACATTCATTCTTAACATTAAAAAAAATGCAGATAGGTCTTCAAAATCGAGGGAAATACGTGTTTGGAATCTGCTGTGTTTGGAAAGTTCGAGCCGAGCAGCGAGTGATGAAATTCACAGTATGGTAAATCACCAGAATCCGACATAATTTACGTAACACAATCGACAAATGGCAAGAAAAATTCTTGTGATTCGTAGCCGGTCAAAACCATTAAAATCGCCTTTGTGTTACGAAACACAATGTGTTCTGCAATAAATACAAAAACTTGTGGTGTGTTCGGAAATTTTCTAGAAACCGGGTGCTAAAATATTTTTTTTTTGTCACCGCAAGTCAAACAGTCTAAAGTGTTTTGGGTTTTCCAGTCGTCTGCTTTAATTGTGACACTGCATTTGAGTACCACTTAACAACCCACATCTTGTAAAGAATGCATCCATAAAAACTCTTACCTACATTTCTTCACCTTATTTCAGACGGAACTGAAAGTGATAATTAGTACCGAATTGTTGCCGTTTCAGCAAATTTATAAAAATGTTATTGTTTGTTGAATTGGTTAACAGTCGACGTGTGTTAAATCGCGCCTTACTTTTCCGTTTCACTAACCAACTAATTAGGAACATAAATCTAAAACGGTGCTAAAAGTGGTACGAATAAATTATACATTAATTCGTAACAATCGATAATCTGTGCAGTTGTTATATAATCCAGACTGTTCGGTTTTATTAATTATTATTATGTAAAGTACCAGAAACCGAGATCCTATTGGTTCGTACTTTGGTACTTTACGGATGTAGCAGGTTTATCGCTGTTCCCACAATTTAGATGTTTTGAAGTCTTTTTTAATGTGTTTTTAATTCCTATATTAAGACAATCGTAAATATTCTTCAAAAAATAAACCTGTCGGTACTATCATTATTCCATTACGTGTTATTATCCAGTTGTCGTACTCATTTAAAATGATGCAGCTTTTAGGTCCTTGAAGCTACCAAAACCCCGTGTTTAACAAAAAATCTAATGACTTCAGTGATAAAATCCGCTGTGGTACCTTGACACTACTACTACAAGGCAACGATTTTCGTTTACGCTACAGCGAATTTAAACTTTTTTAGGTGACACATGTATTAATAATTGCACCGATAACGGAAGAATGCACAACCAATGCGAAACCTTGGCATTGTTTAATTTTTTTATAAATGACTTTCAATTAAAAAATTGTTGCGTTTCTGTAGCAGTATCCGGTACTGCCCGGAAACCGACAATTTCGAAATTCTAGTTGACAAATCCAACTCACCTTATGACCATTGCGCTGCTCTTTATCTGGTCGACTTCTTCATCTGGGTTGGCAACCACACTGGTTATCTTGGATTTTTCCTAACGATTAACACTAATACTAAATAATCATTTATCACAGTGGAAACATCGAATACTGATTGGAAAACAATAGTAGCAATCGGTCGTTTACATTCCTTTTTTATTTGTTGATATAAATATTGTTAGACTTCGCACTATGTTTATTTTAAATGTACACTGCTAGTGAACCTTCGGCGCACTGTGTGCATGGCCACTTTCTATTCTAGTGATTTAGCACTGCTCCCACTTTATCAAGGTGTGCTAATGATGTTGGTCGGGTTATTATTTTGATTGTTATTAAATCGCACATTGATGTCACGTCACGCTTAAGCTTGAGCCGATCTTACGTAAAGAACCGATGCGGTTGTGTAACGGTTTTAAGAACTGTCACAATTTTGTTGTAGAAATTGTGGTGAAGTACTGAGTCCGACCTTGACTTTAACGGGTCGCCGGGCACGAAATCGTAAGGCCTGGCAGGTGAGAGGGGAAGGTTGAGTGTGGGGGTTATTGGTACCACACTAGAGGTTTCGTGAGAATATTCAGCCTATTGCAGAAAGTACTACCGGTGTTAAGTGGTACTACTTACCTAGATACTGAATATGTTTTTAAACGTTTTATTTTAATTTGATTACTTTTTTACTTTTCACTCAGAAAGATTAAAACGGTTTTAGAAACACGAGCTGGAACGAAGGAATGTGAATGGAAAAAAATTGCTTTATCTAGAAGAATTATTGAATAATGTCAACGATAACGGGGTTTTATTGCGTTATAACTTAGTTATGCTTTTTTTATTCTCCATTCACTGATTAAAAAAAAAGGAAAATGAAACGAGATGGTACTGCGGTACTAACTACAGCTACGGTTCTCCAGCTAAGAACTGTTCCTAATAAAAATTCAATTAGTATTCGTGAGGTAATAGAGAACGTACCGATGAAATAGACACCAGTGTAGAACCAAAAGGTTCCAGGTAGGGTGATATTATCGACTAAAGTGAGGAAGATTTTGATGGAGATGAAACCAAAGATGTAGCTCACGGCGCCCCAGAAACCCGAACGTGAAGCCCGGGTTTCGTTGGAGTAAACCTCCCCTATAAGCATTCATGGGAAAAGTTTAAGAAGAACCACCGTAGGCACCCAACTGGTGTCCTCACTCTCATTAGCGGACAGCGCTCCCAAAAGTTCCAAGTAATTAATATTGTTGACGTAAGCGTAAATACCCGCTGTTAAAAAACAAAGCCCACAACTAATCAACGAAAAGAAATTCATGACTCGTTTACCGGTGTAGTGCACAAAGCAAGTACTCAGGATGCACCCAACTACTTCGGCTACTCCTATCGCCACCGTGGTGTAGTACTCGTCTATGGGATACCTCAGCGAAGCGAAAATTTTGACGGCATAGATTTGTAGATGGGTGGTACCGCTGAACTGGCCCATTTTGAGTTTTTCGAGGAAAGTGGGTTTTTCTTTACACTGGCACCAATTTGTTTGGATAGCTCATTGTACTCGGGCTCTATTTCTTCGACGGTGGTTCATCCTCGCAACCACGCGATACATTTTCGGGTGTCGTCGTGCCGTTTTTTGATTATCAACCAATAGGGGCTTTCTGGGACAAAAAACAAGAGGATGAAGGAGGTGATCGGTACCACCACACTCACTAGGGTCACGGTTCCTAGCAAGAACATGATCGTTTTCCGGGTTGGAACCGTGTAAATTGACTTTTTGGGCTCAACGTTTCGCAGACTTTCGTAAGTGGCATCTTCAGGAGCAGGGTTAAGAATAAGGCAAAAGGGCACGGTAATTCAGTATGTTAACCATACCAGAGGCGAAACTCTTTTCTTGATTTTTATTTTTCATTTTCGCGATTTTTTCGATGTCGCTTTAGATTTTATGATTTTTCCATTATTCAATTTCTCAAATCGTCAATCATAATTTTTCAATTCCTGGATTTTCCAGTTCTTAAATTTTTCAATGTTTCGTTTGTTTCGACTTTTGAGTTTCTCAATTTTGAATCTTTCGATGTTTCAATTTTTTGTTTCTTCATTTTTTCAAGTTCTTGATTTCCAGTTTTTAGATATTTTAAGTTTTCATTTTATATTTTTCGTTTTTTCACTTTTGATTTTTCAATTTCAAAATTGTGCAATTTTTTCATTTTTTGATTCGCAAAACAGAAAAAAAAACGAGAAATTGCAAAATCGAGAAAGCATAAAAAATCATGTAATAAAAAAAAAATTCGCGAAATCAAGTCTTATAATTTTTTGAAAAAGGTGTATTTATTTACCTTGGACCAATTTTTGATATCACAATTTTTCGTGTTTCCTTTTTCTTCGATTTCACAATTTTTTTATATCACAATTTTCCGATTTTTTCAATTTTTCAGGTTCTTGATTTTATTTTTCATTTTCGCAATTTTTTAATTTCCATTTTCTCGATTTTATACCACAAATTTTTGTTTTTTCATTTCCTTTGTTCTTTTAATGTTTCTTTAGATTTCATAATTCTTCTTTTGTTCAATATTTCAAATCTTCAATCTTAATTTTTCAATTCCGGAATTTTCCAGTGTTTCAATTTTTAAAAATATAATTTTTTCCATTTTGAATTTTTTAATTTTTGAGTCTCCATATTTTTAATCTTTCGATGTTTGAATCTTTTTTCATATTTTCAAGTTCTTGATTCCCGATTTTCTAATTTATTTAAATTTTCGTTTTATACTTTTTCGTTTTTTCATTTTTGATTTTTAAATTTTACAATTTTGCAAATTTTCAGTTTTTTATTCGAAAAGTTGAAAAATCAAGAATTAAAAATCCAAAAACAACAAAATTGCAAAATCGAAAAAGTGGAAAATCGAGAAACTTAAAAAGCGAAAAAATTTAATGAGTTGAAAAATTGAAGAACTCAAAAGAAAAGAGTCGCCTCTGGTATGGTTAACATACTGAATTACCGTGCTCTTTTGCCTTATTCTTAACCCTGCTCCTGAAGATGCCACTTACGAAAGTGTGCGAAACGTTGAGCCCAAAAACGCAATTTACACGGTTCCAACCCAGAAAACGATCATGTATTGATTCTGACAGTGAAGCCTCCGAAATTAATTTTTATCGTGTTTTAAGTTTCTAAGAATTTTTATTAGTATTTTTTAGTTTTATTATTAATTTTTCTGTTTGTTTTTTTTTAGAATTTGAGTCTTTACAATTTAGTAATTTCACTAGGTATGCAGATTTTGCCTTTTTGTTTTAATATGTGTAGACTTTTTTCATAACATAAAACTTAAAATATGTTTAAAATGGAAAATTTGTATAAGGAAATATAGATTTTGCAATTACCATTTTAATAATGTTTTAAGTTTCTTGATGTGAAAAGATTGTTATGTATATAAAGAAAAAAGAAAAAACGCAAAATATAAGCCCCGCCCACCCACCCTATCTCAATTCTGATGATTTATTTTATCCGTCGTAAGCCGAGGGGTTAAATCCTTATAAATATAATATTTTCTTTAGTCATCGGGTTATACAAAGGAAAGTAAATGTATTGATTATTAAAAGAGAAAACCAAAAGAGAAGCTCCACCCATCCGTCTCGATCTCATTCGTGATGAATTTTTCATTCGTTATCAGATCGAGGGGCGGGGCTTAATTGCAAAATCCATATTTGTCTGGAAGAATTTACCATTTTAAACATGTTTTAAGTTTCTAACAATAAAAAAAGTCGTCATAATTAAAATGGGGTGGGCGGGCGGGGTTTACATTTTATCATTTTTCTCAATGAGCATAGTATTCTTTGAACAACACGATACACAAAAACATTTTTTTCATTTCTTGTAAAGAAATAAGTATTTTGCAGTTAAGCTTCGCCCTCTTGGTTAACTGCGATTAAAAAAATCATTACAATTGAGACAGGGCGGGTGGGCGGGCTTAGAATTTGCCTTTGCGTTTTAAAATGTGTAGACTTTTTTTCACAATATAAAGATTAAAATATGTTTAAAATGTAAATTTGTATAAGAAAATATCAATTTTGCAATTAGGCTCCACCCCATAATACCAAATCTACATTTTCTTGCAGATCGAGGGGCGGGGCTTAATGGCAAGATCTATATTTGTCTGGACGAATTTATCATTTTAAACATGTTTCAAGTTTCTAACAATAAAAAAGTTATCACAATTGAGGTGGGGTGGGTGGGCGGGGTTTATATTTTGTTCTTTTTCTTAATGTGCATAGTATTCTTTGAACAACACGATACTCAAAAACATGTTGCTAATTTCTTGTAAAGAAATTAGTATTTTGCAGTTAAGCTTCGTCCTCTTGGTTAACTCCGAATAAAAAAAAATCATTACAATTGAGATAGGGCGGGTGGGCGGGGTTAGATTTTGCCTTTGCGTTTTAAAATGTGTAGACTTCTTTTCACAATATAACAATTAAAATAGGCTTAAATTTGAAAATTTGTGTAAGGAAATACAGATTTTGCAATTAAGCTCCACCCCCATAATTGCAACATCCATATTTCCTTGTAAAAATGTACCATTTTAATCATGTTTTAAGTTTCTTGTTGTGAAAAGATGGTTATGTATATTAAGAAAAAAACGCAAAATATAAGCCCCGCCCACCCACCCTATCTCAATTCTGATGATTTTTTTTATTCGTCATAAGCCGAGGGGTGGAACTTAATTGCTAAATTCTTATTTTTCTACGAGAAATTACCATGCGAAATGTTTTCTTAAGTAATAGGGTTATACAAAGAAAACTAAATGTATTAATTATTAAAAGAGAAAACCTTAAGAGAAGCTCCACCCATCCGTCTCGATCTCATTCGTGATGAATTTTTTATTCGTTATCAGATCGAGAGGCGGGGCTTAATTGCAAAATCCATATTTGTCTTTAAGAATTCATCATTTTAAACATGTTTTAAGTTTCTAACAATAAAAAAAGTCATCACAATTGAGATGGGGTGGGTGGGCGGGGTTTATACAGTAGACGCCGCTTAATATGATCACGGTTAATGTTATCAACCGCTTAGTGTGATCAAAATGGCTTGAAACGGACCCACGCAATACCTATGCATTACAGTTTTTCCGTTTATTGTGATCAATATTTCGCTTATTGTGATCAATCTCGCAATTCTTATACAAACGGGAATTGCTTTTTTGGAGAAGCGAGGCGACTGAAACTAGTATTGTGTTTTAATGAACATTCATAGCTCTCAAAAGGTACATTCGCTTATACCGCTTGCTTAATACAACCACAATCAGTGGTCAAAAACATCAGACTTAAGTAATCAGTGTGTTTTCGACTTTTGAACGAACGAATTCTTTCTGTTTTAAATTTGAGTAGTATTTATGTAAAAATTAGCACGTCGAAACGACGAAATCTTAGTTTATCAGAGAAAAAAAAATTCCCAGCCCTTTCTTAACAAATTTCTACAACAACCAAAGGAAATCAAGGGTTCCTTTCTCAGAATGGTAACCAAAATTTAAAATAAATTCTAATGTTTATGTATCTTCATCTATCAGCATAATAAACACTGTCTTGTTGATGATTTTGTTTTGTTTCGAGTTTTACTGCCTTTGATGGTGGGGTTCGCTTATTATTATCAGTCGGTTAGTGTGATCAATTTGTCTGAGTCCCAAAGTGATCACATTAAGCGGCGTCCACTGTATTTTGTCCTTTTTCTTAATATACGTAGTATTCTTTGGACAACACGATACTTAAAAACATGTTTTTAATTTCTGATGGAGAAATAAGGATTTCGCAGTTAAGCTTCGCCCTTTTGGTTAACTGCGAATAAAAAAAATCATTACAATTGAGACAGGGCGGGTGGGCGGGCTTAGATTTTGCCTTTGAGTTTTAATATTTGTAGACTTCTTTTCACAATATAAAAATTAAAATATGCTTAAATTGGAAAATTTGTATAAGGAAATATCGATTTTGTAATTAGGCTCCACCCTATAATCATCACAATTGAAATATCAGGTGAGCGGGGCTTATATTTTACCTTTTTTTTCTTAATGGTTAAAATGGTACATTGTTGCAAGGAAATATGGATTTTGCAATAATGGGGCGGAGCCTAATTGCAAAATCGATATTTTCTTATATAAATTTTCCCTTTTAAATCTGTTTTAGTTTCATGTTGTGAAAAGAAGTCTACAGATATTAAAACAAACAGGCAAAATGTCAGCCCGCCCGCCCACCCTATCTCAGTTGTGATGATTTTTTTTATTCGCAGTGAATCGAGAGGGAGGAGCATAACTGCAAAATACTTATTTCTTTACAAGAAATTACGGTCTAGGACAATTCGGCGCGGCCGACTTGGCGCGGCCAACTTGGCGCGGCCGACTTGGCGCGAGACATTTTGGCGCAAAGCCAACTTGGCGCAGGGACACTTTGGCGCAAGCCATCTTGGCGCGGGCCATTTTGGCGTGGATGAACTCGTACCAAGAAAAATAGATATAAATATACAAAAATTGCAGCCGTTGTTAGCATAACCTAATTTTTATAGTCAGCAACGCGTGGAGGGGTAATGTCGACTTTTTAATGGACACACGGGCGCTTCGCGCCCTGCACCCCATTCTAAACATACTCCTAAATGTGGAACTTCTTGCTCCGTGGATCATTTAGTTATTGGAATTTGTGCGAATGAAACTTTGTATTTGGTTGCCTACATTTGGCATAAATAACAAGGTGCTAACCACAGTACGAACAAGAAATATTTTTTATATTATATACCGACGTACTCGCGCCAAGATGGCTTGCGCCAAAATGTCCCTGCGCCAAGTTGGCTTTGCGCCAAAATGGCTCGCGCCAAGTCGGCCGCGCCAAGTTGGCCGCGCCAAGTCGGCCGCGCCAAATAGTCCCATTCCGAAGAAATTAATAGTGTTTCTTATTATCGTGTTGTTTAAAGAATACTAATGTATATTGAGAAAAAAAGGGCAAAATGTAAACCCCGGCCACCCACCCCATCTCAATTTTGATAATTTTTTTACGTTTAGAAACTTAAAACATTTAAAATGGTAAATTTTTGTAAGGAAATGTGGATTTTACAATTAGGCGGCGCTCCTAGGTCTGCCAACGCATAGTACGACACTCAAAAACATGTCTTACATGGTAATTTAAAGGGATATAAATAATAAGGATTTTGCAATTAAATTCAGCTCCTTTGGCTTTCGACGATTAAAGAAAAAAATCGTCACAATAGAGACAGGGTGGGTGGGCGGGGCTTATATTTTGCCTTTTTTCTTAATATACGTAGTCGTTTTTTCAGAACAAGAAACTTAAAAACATGTTTTGAATTTCTTGTGGAGAAATGAGGATTTTGCAGTTAAACTCCGCCTTCTTGGCTCACGACGAATAAAAAAATCATCACAATCGAGATAGGGTGGGTGGGCGGGGTTATATGTTGCCTCTTTTTCTTAATATGTATAGACTTATTTTGACAACAAGAAAGTTAAAACATTTCTAAAATGGTAAATTTTTGTAGTATTCAACTTAAATCCTAGTTACTATCAACGGCAACTTGTCAACGAAGTTTATAAATGACAATTCTCAGCTATAAAAGCAACGTCTGTGGGAACAGGAACTGCAACGGGAACTTCAACGTCAACAAAAGGCTGCGGACAAACCTAAAGCCAAACAATGGAGAAAGATGTATAAAAGACAGATTACGTTTGACAGGGAGTACGATAAGAATTTATTGAATTGAATTTTATTCCTGCAGAGGCACGAATGAGATGATTGTTTACCAAGCACTCGAAGCTCTTTTCGTCGCTTCGCAAATAAACAGGCGGTGGAAATAGCTATCACAGCTGCAGCAGTACATCTCTATTTGGTGTAAGAAGTGGGATCGAGTTTTAAAGTTGGATATTGCTAATCCCGATTTACTCGAGCAACAGGGACGCTCTCATCACTTATTCAGTCCAAGTAAACAAATCGAACCGTCGCAGGTCTCGTCGCAATCGGAAACCAATTAGTGCCCTTTTTCTCTCCTTCTTTCCACGCGTCAAAGATCTCGGCCAACCCATCTGCATTGTTCCTTGCATAGCGATTTTTGTACGTTAGGAATTTCAAGTAAATCATTGCAACTTTTAAGTTTCATTGGAAAAAACCAATGGAAGTTTATAGGATCCTTCTAAGACTAGGGATGTAAATGAGTGTCTGGAATTAAGAAAATTGGGTTATTTGTTGTTGTCTTCTTTCCATTCGTTGAGCACAATTTAGCTTATTAATTTTACACCGAAGCTGAAAAAGTGTCATTATTCCTTCATGCTGGTGAGTATTAATCGTAAACAAAATAAAGTACCACAGGTGTTTGTCGTGTCACCACGATCCGTCTAATTCGACTTTAATCGTCAGTTTCCTCCCGATTCCGGGATCACTGTCTCACTTGAAGGGTACCCAATAAAACTCCGGCTAATTTTTGTTGTATATTTGAAATTTTCCTCTTCGTCCATACATACGCACATTTATGTTGATTTTACATACATACAGACATACAGGAAATCTTAACTCCTAGTGAAAATGAAAATGAATGTAACCGGAGAACAGTACAGTTTGTCAAATGAAGGTAGCTAAGTATACGTAATGATTTAAATTCGTTTCTTTTGATTTTGGCACTTTTCATTAAAACACTGACGCGTTTTTTTGACAAACTTCACCATTCGTTTCGAATTGTACTAATTGTCTCACTATGAACCAAATCGTGGGGTGGGGCGGGGATCGGGGAGGGGAGTCGAACTTAGGCGAGCTTTTTACAAATGATAACACTTACACAATAAAAAATAGGAATACAAAAGTAATAATGTACGACTAGGATTACACTTGAGCAACTTGGTGATGGGAAACTGAAAGTTTTACGCACCAAGTTTGGAAAGTAATGTTGTTTTGTTGGTTGTTGTCTTAACTCAATTGTGCGATTAAACATTTTGTTGACAGCAGATCATGTGTTCGGTTATCTTTTTGTATTTCTATGGCCGGCGACGAAATGCGTTACGCCACTGGGTGAAAATCATAGAAAAAAATGTGGTCTCGCGACCGTGGCTGACGGATCTCGTCGGCGGGTACAGCGTCTATTACATAAGTTTATATTAAATTATTAAACTAATATGTATTTCTTTAAAAATACATATCTATTTCATTAAACCTACGTACGGATCAACTATTTCTAAATTTTATATATTCAATAATAATGTGACAATGTTCTAGTCCCTCTCTACTGATTCACTTGATTGCATTAAATTACATATTAAGGTTTGTTTTAGTTAAAAATTCCTCTGTTAAACTAGTTTAATGGTAAATAAATCTCATTCAAATTCAACAAATCGTAATAGTATATAGGAATATGTTCTCTGAGATCTAAAATTATAAACGGTGCGCCCACAAAGAAAGGGTGCTTAAATTTCGCTTGCAGTTGAGTAAAAGAGTCTGACGTAAACCTAAATCTTCTAAGTGGGCACATTTTGATAGATTCTTCATTCAATAACGAAATATCATATCTATGATGCAATAAAAATTACTTCTATAAAGATTTCGCAAATATGCATAAACATTCTAAAAGTATATAAGAATGATTTATACCCCTGTAATACTGAGTCATCCTTGGTACAACAACATGAGTCGCATATAAATCTTAAAATGATTAAAATTATTCCTCATTAATCCCTTAAGTTTAAACAATCTCGGGGCTTCAAGGGGACAAACAAAACTCACAGTGACAATCTCAGTCGGTAGTCACAAATATTAACAATTATTTTAATAACTTGTACAGCGTTAACAATTCGATTTTGGTTTGGTTTTGTCTAAACAGTCCATCTGTATGAGGCGCAGCGCCGGACCCTCTCGAAATCCGGCTTTCGTCATACAAACAGTTGATATTTATCTCTACTGCTGGTTATACGCATTGTGTATTTCTAGCCCGGTTGTGGTCTCGACGAGGGACTTACGCGAGGCGCTTAAAGCGGCCATACTGTGGTCTCTGCCTTTGCGCGGGAGGGTGGTTGAGGATGCCTCTAAACTACTGTCTCTTGGCTTCCACACAGGCGACCCTATAACAAACCAACGGCATCACTTTTTGCAAGGTTAAGCATAAGCCCAATGTTGTGCAAAAATCGGAAACAAATAGGGTCGTTTGAAGTCCAACAGACATTAAGCTGACTACACTCAGACACTAGTGCGAAGCGGGGGTGCTAACTGAGGGGGGCGGGTCGGGACAGATATGTGGTGGGACTCTCGAAAAGAAACTCCCGCTGCCGAATCAGAAATGTTTCTGTCATCACGAAACAGTACTACAATTTTTGCGTGTCGGTACTGAGTAATGATGATGGTATGCGGATGATTAAGTAACTTTCAAAGTAATAATCTTTAGTAGCCTTGAACGGAGGCACGCATTCGCGCAAAATGTTAAAAGTCACTTTTGATCTTCGCGGTACCACCTTTAGACATTTCTGTAACGACAGCCGGTGCCGCCTACCCGCCCCTCCAAGATCAGAAAATCATAAACTAAGGACGAAAGAAACGTCTACTCTACAGTCTCAGTACTGTTTTTGATAATTTCGCATAACAACTAATCTACAGTCTCAGCACTTGATTTCGTCCGTGGCCCGGCCACTCGTCCGCGCCAAAACAAAACTGTTGCTCCTCTTGTGCGTATGCTATCCTTTATCTGTTTTCCCAGACAAATAGCACTCGACACAAGTGGGGTTCTCAATGCTCAAGGACCTGGCTGATTGTTTTAATGACGATTTGATTTTCTTGGGGCTTTTGGTGTTGTTCTCTGGTTTGGGACTGTTATCTCTGGAGCGTCGGTGGGTTCTCGGACTGGACTTTCTGGAATTTTTTGGACTGACACTGTCGGAACGTTTCGAGTTTTTGTTGGGACTGGGCCGCCGCACGTGCTCTTGTCTTTTCGGGGAACGGTTCGGAGATTTGGTGGTATGGATTTCCGCTGTGACCGTTTCGTTAGTGCTCTTACCTAGTTCTTCGGTCTGCATGGGGTGGAAGTTCTCCGGAGCGTGCGACGACTGGATCAGGCGAGCTTGGCTCCCCGTGCTGCCGGCAGACAAAGTGGAGGTCGTGCTACAAACCAACGGATTAATGGGAAAAAAGCTGGGCGGATTTATTGCGCTTGCAGCGAGAAGCCAAGTGCAGTCGCAAGACTCTGGAAGACGCTCAAATCCTTTCTTAGAACTGTGATTTATGTCAGAGTCGAGGCAAGATTTAGCGCAGTCGACCGGACACAATGGAACTCGGGCTCCAGAAAAAAAAACACTACTTGGCGGGAAGATAACGTCAAGCGAAATTGGAACACCCCCAAGCAGCGGCCAAAAGACCCCTTCTGGAAGGAGGAATCCGGGTGGTGCCAGAATCAATACACGTTCTGTTATTAATCTTTGAATTGTCGCAAATTTCAAAAACGGCTTCTATCTAGAACAGAACACTTGGTCGAACTTAATTTGCGTACGAGCGGTGTATCGCAAGGTTCCGCCTTAGATCCTTTTCTATTTTAGGGTTCGTTAATGATATTGTCTTTTTACTCCCGAATTTCAATGAATGCATGGTATAATAACGTTGTGTTACCACCACGAGATATATGAGTTTGTAGCGCAGTGGCTCAGCGGCATTCTAGACAAACCGACGACATTCCGTCGGGGGTTCGAAACCGAACTTGGCGCTTTCCGTTTTTTTTTCTTGCATTGGTGTAAAGCTGTGACTACTTTGCTGTGACTGGTATTACCCATGTTGATGACGTCACCACAAATTTTTTATTGATCAAATTAAGAACGAGTCACCCCATTTTCTCTAATAAACTAACTTCTACGTGACATTATTTCGATGTATAAACATAGATAAACGCTGGTTTTTACTTTACAGCGGTTTTTTTAAAGAGCTGGATTTGTCGGATTATACAATTTTTTATTGATCAAATTAAGAACCTCATTTTCTAGAAAATGTGAGAATACCAACGTTTTTATTTAATTATGATTTTGTTCCATTGTGGCTTAATTAATAATTTGGTGACTGGGTGAGGCTAGTAGTTGCCAAGATAAGACCGATTTTGGCGAATGAGATACCCTCTAAGAAAAGTTTTTCAATATTTCAGTTCCTCATTCTTTTTGATTTTTTGCATTTTAGATTTTTCGTCTTTTTCGACTTCGATTTCTCGATTTTCTCAATCTTTTGATTACTTAATTTTTCATTTTATACATACTTATATTTCAGTTTTAGAATTTTTCATTATTTCGATCCTTCAATTTTTTGATATCTCGATGCTTTTTCGATTCTTCAATTATTCTTCGATTTCAGTTTTGGGACTTTTTGGTTTTTTGATTCTACATGAACCTTAGGCAGTCACAAGTGAACAAAAAACATTGGAATCTTAATAAAAAAAAAACAAAGTTAATCAATAAATAAATAATTAACCTATTAACAATTTTTCAATTTCTCGATTTTTTTTATTTTTAATTTTTCGATTTTTAAAGTATTAAAGTTCGAATTTTTCGATTACTCAATTTTTCAATTCTTCAATTTATCAATATTTTAATTATTGCTCCAATTTCCAAGTTTCAGATTTTTTTTAATTTTTTATTGCTCGATTTTTCGATTATTCAATTTTTCAGTACTTCAGTTTGGAATTTTTCAATATTTCAATTCCTCGATCTTTTCATGTTTCGATTTCTCGATTTTTCAATTTTCCGAAATTTTAATTTTTCGATTTTAAAATTTAAAATTTTTCGATTTCCCCATTTGCCGATTTTTCAGTTCTTCGATTTTTCAATTTTTTAGTTTTTCGAATTTTTAAAGTTTACGTTTTTCAGTATTTTGATGTTTCGGTTACTCGATCTTTCGATTTTTCAACCCGGTTCAGATTTACGGTTTTTCGATTTTCACTATTTTTCAATTTTTGGTTTTTTAATTCTTTTTATTTCTAGATTAAACGAGATTTCGATGTTTTAATTTTTCGATTGTTCAGTTTCCCGATTTTTCAATTTATTCATTTTCAGTTTTTCGTTTTTTTTGCCATTTAGATTTCTCGATTTTTTAATTTCCCATTTTTTATTCGTACAATGTTGCAATTTTTGAATTTTTCTACTTCTCAATTTTTAACATTTCAATTTTAGGAATTTTTCAAATTCTGCATTTTCAGTTTTCGAAATTTTAATTTTTCGATTTTTTAAATTTCAGATTTTTCAATTTTCGGCTTTTCGATTTTTCAATTTTTCAAATTTTCTGTTTTACCAATTTTTAAACATTTCAATTTTGGGATTTTTCGATTTTTCAATTCTTCGATTTTGAATTTTTCGATTTCTCGGTTTTTTGGTTTTTCAGTTCTTCGATTTTTTACTTTTTTAGTTTTTTAAAATCTCCTATTTTTCAATTTTGCGATGTTCTAAATTTTTAATTTATCAATTTATCGGTTTTTCAATTTTACGACCATTCAATTTATTATTTTTTCGATTGTTCAATTTCCCAATTTTTTGTTTTTTAAAATTATTTCGATTGTTCGACTTTTCGATTTCTTGATCAATCTTTCAGTTCAATTTTTCTTCGATTTTTCTGTTTTAGATATTTCAATTTTGGGTTTTTATAATATTTCGATTCTTAAATTTTTAGTCTTTTACTTTAGATTTATGGATTTTTTTATTTTTCCATGTTTCAGTCTTTCGATTCTTCAATTCTTCGATTCTCTAAATTTAGGATTTTTCAATTTCTTTTTTTTGGTTTTTCTTTTTTCGATTTTTCATTATTTTAGTTTTTTAAAATTTTGGATTTTTCAATTTTTCGGTTTTTCAATCTTCCGATTTTTCAATTTATTAATTTTTCGATTGTTCAATTTCCCAGTTTTTTGAGTTAAAAATTTTTCGATTTTTCGACCTTTCGATTTCTTGATCTTTCAATCTTTCAGTTGTTCTATTTTTCTTCGATTTTTCAGTTTTTCGATATTTCAATTTTGGGATTTTTTAACATTTGGATTTTAAAATTTTTAGACTTTTACTTTCGATTTATCGATTTTTCAATTTTTCGATGTTTTAAAGTTTTAATTTTTAAATTTTTCGGTTTTTCAATCTGTCGATTTTTCAATTTATTAATTTTTCGATTGTTTAATTTCCCAAATTTTTTATTTTTAAATTTTTTCGTTTTTTCGACCTTTCGATTTTTTGATCTTTCAATCTTTCAGTTGTTCAATTTTCTTCGATTTTTCAGTTTTTCGATATTTCAATTTTTTCATTTTTTAACATTTCGATTCGTAAATTTTTAGATTGTTACTTTTGATTTATCGATCTTTTTTTTATTTTTTGATGTTTCAGTTTTTCGACTATTCAATTTTTAGATTCTCTACTTTTTTTTGGTTTTTTCAATTTTTTAATTCTTCGAATTTTTAAAGTTTACATTTTTCAATTTTTTGATGTTTCCAATATTCGATCTTTCGATTTTTCGACTTCCCGGTTTAGTTTTAGGGTTTTTCTATTTTTCGATTTTCACAATTTTTCAACTTTTGGTTTTTTAAATCTTTCGATTTCTGCATTAATCGAGATTTCGATGTTTTAATTTTTCGATTGTTCAGTTTCCCGATTTTTCAGTTTATCCGTTTTCAATTTTTCGTTTTCAGGTTTCGAGATTTCAATTTTTCGATTTTTTAAATTTCAGTTTTTTCATTTTTCGATTTTCCAATTTTTCTATTTTCCTAATTTTTAAACATTTCAGTTTTGGAATCTTTCAATTTCTCGATTTTTCAATTATTCGAGTTTTTAAATTTTGAATTTTTCGATTTTTTGGTTTTTCAATCTCGCGATTTTTCAATTTATTAATTTTTCGATTGTTCAATTTCCCAATTCTTTTTTTTATTTTTCGATATTTCAGGCTCTTGATTTCTTGATCTTTCAATATTTCAGTTCAATTTTCTTCGATTTTTCAGTTTTTCGATATTTTAATTTTGGCATTTTTTAACATTTCGATTCGTAAATTTTTAGATTGTTACTTTTGATTTATCGATCTTTTTTTTATTTTTTGATGTTTCAGTTTTTCGATTATTCAATTTTTAGATTCTTTAAATTCTTTTCGGTTTTTTTCAATTTTTCAGTTCTTGGTATTTTTAAAGTTTAGATTTTTCAATTTTTTGATGTTTTCATTACTCGATCTTTCGATTTTTCGACTTCCCGGTTTAGATTTACGGTTTTTCTATTTTTCGATTTTCACAATTTTTCAACTTTTGGTTTTTTAAATCTTTCGATTGTTCAGTTTCCCGATTTTTCAGTTTATCCGTTTTCAATTTTTCGTTTTCAGGTTTCGAAATTTTAATTTTTCGATTTTTTAAATTTCAGATTTTTCATTTTTCGAATTTCCAATTTTTCTGTTTTCCCAATTTTTAAACCTTTCACTTTCGGGATTTTTCAATTTCTCGATTTTTTAATTATTCGATTTTTTAAATTTTGAATTTTTCGATTTCTCGTTTTTAGGTTTTTCAGTTCTTTGGTTTTTCAGTGTTTTAGTTTTTTAAATGTCCTATTTTTCAATTTTTCGATGTTTTAAATTTTTAATTTTTCAATTTTTCGGTTTTTCAATCTTTCGATTTTTCAATTTATTAATTTTTGATTGTTCAATTTCCCAATTTTTTGATTTTTGAAATTTCTGGATTTTTCAACTTTTCGATTACTTGATCTTTCAATCTTTCAGTTGTTCAATTTTTCTTCAATTTTTCCTTTTTTCGATTTGTCAGTTTTTCGATATTTCAATATTGGGATTTTTTAATATTTCGATTTTTAAATTTTTAGACTTTAATCGATTTTTTTAATTTTTGGATGTTTCAGTTTTTCGATTCTTCAATTTTTAGATTCTCTAAATTTAGGATTTTTCAATTTCTCGTTTTTTTTTTGGTTTTTCAGTTATTCGATTTTTCATTATTTTATATACCTATTTTTTTTTAATTTTGGATTTTCCAATTTTTCGATTAACGATATTTTGATCTTTCGATTTTCCGACTTCTCGGTGTTACATTTTATAGCTTTCCATTTTTTTGGTGTTAAAAATTTTTGATTTTTTAGTTTTTCAATTTTTCGGTTTTTCGATTTTTTAATTTTTCGATTGTTCCATTTGCTGATTTTTCGGTTTTTCGACTTCTTTACTCTTCAGTTTCTCGATCTTTTGATGTTTGGAGTTTTTGATGTTTCGATTTTTCAATTTTCCACTTTTTCTATTCTCCAGTTTTTCGATTTCCCAATTTTTTAACATTTGAGTTTTGGAATTTTTCAGTTTCTCGATTTTTCAGTTTTGAGATTATTCAAATTTCGATTTTTCATTTCGATTTTGATTTTTAAAATTTTTCGATTTTTTGATGTCTCGGTTTTTCAAGTTTTCAATTTCTGTATTTTTCAACAATTCAAATCTGAGAGAATTTAAAAATTGTAGCGTTTTTCAATTTTTCGATATTTTAATTTATCAATGTTTTAAATTTTACATCGTCGACTTTTCGGATTCCGGTTATTCAATTTTTAGATTATTATGTTTGATGTTTCGATTTCTCGACATTTCGGATTTGTTTTTATTTATTTAATTATGATCAAATAAGAATAATAATAATCATACCCAAAATTGTGGCTTAATTAATAATTTTAGTCTTCTGTTTTGAGGACACAACGCATTCAAATTAAACAAATTTCTACGTGACATTCTTTCGACGTATAAACATAAACAATCGATGTTAAACATATACATTGATGATAATAATACACTATATAACTAAACACTAGAGAAGATGGTCAAAATTCCTGCCTTGTACATGTAAGTAAGCTAGTAATGTTTCCAAATTTTGATCATTTTTTGTAAAAGTTAGTCATCAGTACTTGCTACGATAAAACTGATTTTGGCAAATGAGATACTTCCTAAGAAAAGTGTAGGCGGGTGGGCGGGGCTAGTACGTGCTACGGTAAAACTGATTTTGGCAAATGACATATCCTCTAAGAAAAGAGAGGGTGGGTGGGCGGGGTTAGTATCTGCTAAGAAAAGACTGATTTTGGCAAATAAGATACTCTCTAAGAAAAGTGAGGGCGGGCGGGCGGGGCTAGTACCTGCTACGATAAAACTGATTTTGGCAAATGACATATCCTCTAAGAAAAGACAGTGCGGGTGGGCGGGGTTAGTATCTGCTAAGAAAAGACTGATTTTGGCAAATGAGATACTCTCTAAGAAAAGTGAGGGCGGGTGGGCGGGGCTAGTATCTGCTAAGAAAAGACTGATTTTGGCAAATGAGATACTCTCTAAGAAAAGTGAGGGCGGGTGGGCGGGGCTAGTACCTGCTATGATAAAACTGATTTTGGCAAATGACATATCCTCTAAGAAAAGAGAGGGTGGGTGGGCGGGGTTAGTACCTGCTACGATAAGACTGATTTTGGCAAATGAGGTACCCTGGAAGAAAAGAGAGGGTGGGTGGGCGGGGTTAGTACCTGCTAAGATAAGACTGATTTTGGCAAATGAGATACCCTCGAAGAAAAGAGAGGGTGGGTGGGCGGGGCTAGTATCTGCTAAGGTAAGGCTGATTTTGGCAAATGAGATACCCTCGAAGAAAAGAGAGGACGGGTGGGCGGGGCTAGTACCACCTGTCTTTTTTTTAAGAATGTGAAACCTTCTCGGGGGCCCCAAGTGTAATTTTTTGAAAGAAAGTGAAACCTTCTCGGGGGTCCCAACTGTCTTTTTTAAGAATGTGAAACCTTCTCGGGGACCCCAAGTGTCTTTTTTTTAAATATGAAAATTTGTCGGGGCCTGCAATTGTTTTTTTTTTAAAGAATATGAAATCTTTGTAGGGCTTCAACTGATTTATTTTAAAGAAGGTGAAATATTCTTGAGTGCTTTGTCTTTTTTTTTAAAGAAGAAATAATGTGAAACCTTCTCGGGGGACCCAACTGTCTTTTTTTAATAATATGAAACCTTCTCGGGGGTGGCAAATATCTTTTTTTTAAGAATGTGAAACCTTCTCGGGAGTTCTAAGCGTTTTTTTTTTAATATGAAACCTTCTCGATGGCCCCAAGTAACTTTTTTTTAAAGAAGGTGACACCTTCTCGGGGGCCCCAAATGTCTTTTTTAAGAATATAAAACCTTCTCGGTGGCCCCAATTAACTTTTTTTTTAAAGAAAGTGAAACCTTCGCAAGACCTCTAACTGTTTTTTTTTTTTAAGAAGAACTAATACAAAACCTCGGGGGTCCTAATTGTCTTTTTTTAAGAAGGCGGAACAATCTTTTTTCTCTTACACTGTGACTAGTACTTTCTATATTATTTTTACTCCATTGAGCTTATCACAAGAAAATAAAATTTCGCAAAATTAAATTTAATATTTTTCAAAGAAGCAGAATTCTTTGGACTGTACTTCAGGAACGCGAAAGTTCTGTCCAAATAACTTTCGACCCATTTTTTAGTTAAAGATAATAAAAAATACCATCTGGAAAATGAAAATTCAGTTTGGAAGAAGACTGTTTTCAAGGAAATTATGTCGCATCATAACCCAGATAATCTTTATCAAAGTCGAGCTACAAAACTGCTTAGTGTCCCATTATTGACATAAATCAAAGAAACTTTAAAAGTTCGTACGGACAGCTTCTGTGGCGCCGCAATAATCCGCCACTCAGTTCAAAGTGCCCATAATTTTTCCCCCGAAAGGTGAATTTAAATAGAGTGTTTCCGTCTACACAAAACTTGGAAATCTCGCGATTAACCAGGAAGAGAATTAGCAAGTGATGAACCCCAAAAATAAATAACAACGTTACCCAGGATTTTCCCCCGCATCACAAAGCAATAAAAAACCCGAACTTGTAAAGCCCGAAGCGGTCAGTCTACACAACAAAGTTTCCCCAACTCGCTTAAAACTCGGTATCCGCTAATCCAATTTTTTTCTTTTGAACTGTAGACAACGCGCCTGATAATAATAAACTTTGAATGAAATTTAGCGAGCGTTCGTATTTTAAGAAGTTTTACGACCATTACAAAATCTGACGTTTTCTCCAACAAAGAGTCCCCGGAAAGCGTTCTACTTGATTCATGTTGGCTCCTGTTTCGATGCAGAGGGCAATAAATCGTGTATTCTAATAAAAATAAAAATGACTTAGAAAGTCAATACCTCAGAGTGAGATGATTGGGAGTCCGCCCTAGCGTCGCTTTGGTCTTCGCCGGGCCCCCTTGGGAGTCCTCCTCCCCTTCCGACTTGAATCCGGCGTCGTTCCTTTCATGTTCCGGCCGTTTCGGCGGATCTGAATTTAAAAATCGCAAACAATTTTAAGCACGAGACCTAAATCAACTAAAATCGATTTGAAAAAATTGCCGAAGTCCGAAGGAAACTGAGTAACAAGTAATAAACACAAGATGGTTTAGTTTTCGGTTTTACCTGCGGCGTCTCCCACGGTTTTGCTCCTCGACCTGAAAGTAGTGGCTGGAGGTTCGTCCCCCTCTTGACTGATGTTATCGTAGTCTATGTTTCCCGACGAGTGTCTTTGCGACGCTTTGGACTTCTTCGTCTTACCCAACGTGTGCGAGCCTTGCACTATCACAGTCTTCGTTGCCGGTCTCTCTAAAGTCTGACTGTTGAGGACCTCCCCCTTGTGTCCCGTTACCAGGAGAATCCCGGGTCCCGATCCCGGTTTCGTCGACGGTATCGACATATTCCTCACCGACTCCCTTATGATCTGCCTGATCGTTTTCAGGAAGGCGTTCCTGAAGTCTGCCGTGCTGAAAGCCCGATCAATGCCACCACGAATCAAGAACACCCTAAACGTTACCTATTAGACAAAACGTAGACCTTCTCCGATCTCCTCTGTAATTGACTTCTTAAGTGAATCAGTTCCCATAGGAAATGAGAATCCATATCCTTGGCGGAAGAAGCTCGTACTTGAACTTCGGTTACAGGAATGAGCACTTGATAGCGAATAATTTCTACTTCGGACGAGGAACCTTTGCTCGAAACGCCCTACGAACAAATGAAACGGTAAAGGCAGGGGTGGGTGGGCGTCTCACCATAAGTTTCTTTTTCTGTCTCAGTCTCTCTTTACACAGGAATACGACGGCGGTTTTGAAGACGAAGCACATCGCGTGTAGTTCCAGACCCTTTTTGATTTTACCCAGGAAGTCGGAGATGTTCAGCCACTCCACCCCGCCATAGTAGAGTAGATCCCCGGGACTTAGATCGATCGACTGCTTGCAGGACTTCTGGTGCTGTCTGAAGAGATGGTCGAAGATGGCCCCGTACTCCTCGTGGATCCGCTGCATTTCGTTGATGTGTTCGGCGACCTTTTCCATGCCCTTGAGGGCCTCTGCGCGGTAAAGCGTTAGCGGAAGGGTTAGTCAAGGGTCTACTCGCCCCACCTACTAAATGCTGGTGCTCGTCCGTGTTGGGATCGGTCAGATTCCGCAGCTGCTGCAGCAGCAGCGGATACTTCAATATCCGCTGTATCGGCTTGATCAGATAAGATTCCAGCGTCGAGGAATGCTGCTGTTTGGGATTGCGCGCCGCCAGGAATTCCTGCAGCGCCTGGTTCCCCTCGTCTAGAAAACAACCTAAGCAAGGTTGGCCAACCTCAGCCGATACTTACTCGGATGCAGGACTTTCTGGGCCTTGCTGTGACTAGCGCAGAACGAGCTGTATAATTTGAAGTGATTTACATAATACAAAAATGCGCTCCCGATGGAAAATAAAACATTCTGGAATTAAAATTGATAAATATGTAACGAAGACGCGCCCGAAAAAGTGCGCTTACTTTAAATTGGCTACTGTATTCAAATTTATGGAAATCCGGCTCGAGGTCGAGCGCTTCCTCGAGGTTCTGCAGGAACTGGCGCTGGAACGTCACGATCTCCTGGATGTTGCCGAACAGCGCGTTGATCTCGGCGTTGGAGAGGAAGGTCTCCTTCTTGAGGGGCTCCAAGTAGTTCTCGAGCAAATTGTTCAGATGCTGCGGGATTAGGGCATCAGGTGCAAAAACTCGGGTGATTTATGGGCGAGTCATTTATTACCTTGACGTAAGCGCGCTCGGTATCCACCAGCTCCAAGATGACTTTCCTTAATTTCTCGGCGTCGGTTAACTGCCGGGATGGCGTCAGCAGAGTCTGCGAGGTGTTGCTAACCAGACTTCCGGTAGGGCTGGATTTGCGAGTTTCTATAGGCGACCGGCAAAATCCTGTCACTTGCTCGGCGGTTTTCAGCAAGTTCTCGATCTCGAAGGAGTTGGTGCGAGAGCTGACTTTAATCCCGGAGTCCGTCAGCGAGGAGGGCGGGTTCTCGGATTCTGTGGCGTAGCGGTCTTTACCTAAGGGCAAGCGGTTTCTCAACAGAGGCACTAAAGCCGCAACGAGCACAACAATTAGCAAACAAACCGCCAGTGAGGAGAAGACACCTACAACAACGATAACTGAAAGTTCAAAATGTTGATTTTTACTTCCTGAGAGAAAGCTGTCTGTCTGTCTGTCGTCTGTCCGAATTTTTATTCGACGGATACATTTTAAGCTCTTCGATTTGCAATTTTTCGATTTTACAATTTCTTGGTTTCTTAGCTGTAAATTGGAAAAACCAAAAATAAAAAAACTAAAAAAATATAAAATAAAAACTTTGAAAAAAAAATTGAAGCAAAGAAAAATTGAAAAATCGAGAGATTAAAAATCAAGGAATTGAAAAATCGAAAGACTAAAAGCAAAGAATTGGAAAAAACAGTTTTTTACTTACAATTTTTCTATTGATTTTAAATATGTAATAATAATCATAATTGTTTAAAAATTTCACATTTTCAATTTTCCGGCTTTTAATTTTTGAATTTCTGGATATTTAATTTTTTAATTTTTCGATCTTTCAGTGTTACAGTTTTTCGATTTACCAATTGGGACGATTCTAGAATTTTTCGATTCATTAATTTTTTCAATTTTTAAATTTCTCATTTTTTAGTTTATCAATGTTTCAATTCGTCGTTTCTTCAGATTTTCGATTTGCAATTTTTCGATTTTCCACTTTTTCGATTTTACAGTTTCTAGGTTTTTTTAATCGTAATTTGAAAAATAAAAAACGAAAAAGTATAAAATGAAAACAAATATTCAAAATAAAAAATTAAAAAATTGAAACAAAGAAAAATTGAAAAATCGAAAGATTAAAAATTAAGAAACTGAAAAATCGAAAAAGTACAAATTCTAAAAAACCAAATATTGTAGAATCGAAATTTGTATTAGAAATTAAAGAAATCGGAAAGCCCGATAATTGAGAAATTTTTGGATTTTCAATTATTCGTTTTTCTCCAATTTCTTTTATTTCAATACATATCTGTATTTTACGATTTATACTCCGTTATTTTCAATTTTGCATTTTTTCGATTTTTCTTTCATTTTTTTGTTGTATCAGTTTGTAGATTTTACAATTTATCGATTTCCAATTTTCGGTTTTCAATTTTTGGGTTTTTCAACTTTTAGATTTTTTAATTTTTTAATTTTTCGCTTAATGTTGGATTTCCAATTTTTCTGATTTACATTTTAAATATGTAATAATAATTATAATTTTTAAAAAATTTCACTTTTTCAATTTTCTGATGTTTAATTTTTGAATTTCTAAATATTTAATTTTTTAATTTTTAGATCTTTCAGTGATAGAGTTTTTCGACTTTATAATTTTGACGATTCTAGAATTTTTCGAATTTGCAATTTCTGGTTTTCCAAATTTTTGTGTCGATTCGGTCAATTTTTCTTCTTTCTAATTTTTAGATTCATAAATTTTTTCAATTTTATGTTTCCCTATTTTAAGTTTTTCAAGGTTTCAATTTTTCGTTTCTTCAGATCTTCGATTTGCAAAATTTCGATTTTCCGCTTTTTCGATTTTACAAATTCTTGGCCTTTTTAGTTATAAATTTGAAAAATCAAAAATAAAAAAACCAAAAAATATAAAATTAAAACTTTGAAAAACATAAATAATGAAAATCAAAAAAATTAAAAATTTAAGCAAAGAAAAAGTGCAAAATCTAAAAAACGGAATCCAAATATGTGTTGAAAATTAAAGAAATCGGAAAACCGGGTAATTGAGAAATCCAAAAAATTTTCAAATTGGCAATTTTTGGATTTCCAGTCATTCGTTTTTCTCCGATTTTTTTAATTTTCAGTACATATTTTGATTTTACAACGAATATTCCGGTTTTCCGATTTTGCACTTTTTCGATTTTTCTTAGTTTTTCGATTTTTAACTTTGTCGAGTTTTCGATTTTTCAATTTTTCGTTTCTTCAGTTTTTCGGTTTGCATTTTTTTAATATCTCATTTTTTTGTTTCTTAAATTTTACAACATGTAACTGTCCGAATTTTCATTAAATTTTTTTTTTTGATGAGTCAGTTTGTAGATTTTACAATTTTTCGATTTGCAATTTTTCGTTTCGGTTTTTTATTTTCCTTACTTTTCAGTGTTCCGATTTTTAAATTTTTTCTTTTTTCCAACGGAAAATTTTTCAATTTTTGGATTTTACAATTATGCGATTTGCAATTTGCGGTTTTTCAACTGTCAGATTTTTTAATTTTTCGTTTCTCAGTTTTTGATTTACAATTTTTCTAGTTTTCATTTTAAATATGTAATAATAATAATCATAATTGTTTAAAAATTTCACATTATCAATTTTCCGGTTTTTAATTTTTGAATTTCTGGACATTTATTTTTTTAATTTTTCGATCTTTCAGTGTTACAGTTTTTCGATTTTACAATTTTGACGATTCTACAAATTTTCGATTCCACAATTTTTTCTTTTCCAATTCTTTGTATCGATTCGATAGTCTTTTTTCTTTTCCCAATTTTTCGATTCATCGATTTTTTAAATTTCTCAATTTTTAGTTTTCCAAGATTTCAATTTTTCGTTTCTTCAGATCTTCGATTTGCAATTTTCCGATTTTCCGCTTTTTCGATTTACAAATTCTTGGCTTTTTAGTTGTAAATTTGAAAAATAAAAAATAAAAAAAATAAAAAATATAAAATTAAAACTTTGAAAAACATAAATAATGAAAATCAAAAAAATAAAAAATTGAAGCAAACAAAAAGTGCAAAATTTAAAAAACGGAATCCAAATATGTGTTGAAAATTAAAAAAAATCGGAAAACCGGGTAATTGAGAAATCCAAAAAATTTTCGAATTGGAAATTTTTGGATTTCCAGTTATTTGTTGTTCCCCGATTTCTTTAATTTTGAATACATATTTTGATTTTACAATGAATATTCCGTTTTTCAAATTTTGCACTTTTTCGATTTTTCTTAGTTTTTCGATTTTTAACTTTCTCGAGTTTTCGATTTTTCAATTTTTCGTTTCTTCCATTTTTTGGTTTGCAATTTTTTAATTTCTCATTTTTTTTGTTTCTTCAATTTTACAACATGTAACTGTTCGAATTTTCATTTAAATTTTTTTTTTTGATGATTCAGTTTGTAGATTTTATAATTTTTCGATTTACAGTTTCACGAGTTTTCAATTTTCAGTTTTTCCAGCTTTCGATTTTTCAAATTTTCCATTCTACAATTTTTCGTTTCGGTCTTTTATTTTCCTTATTTTTCAATGTTCTGATTTTTAAATTTTTTCTTTTTTCCAACTGACAATTTTTCAATTTTTGGATTTTACAATTATTCAATTTGCAATTTGCGGTTTTTCAACTGTCAGATTTTTTAATTTTTCGTTTCTCAGTTTTTGATTTACAATTTTTCTAGTTTTCATTTTAAATGTGTAATAATAATAATCATAATTGTTTAAAAATTTCACATTCTCAATTTTCCGGTGTTTAATTTTTGAATTTCTCAATATTTATTTTTTTAATTTTTCGATCTTTCAGTATCACAGTTTTTCGATTTTACAATTTTGACGCTTCTACAATTTTTCGATTACACAATTTTTGGTTTTCCAATTCTTTGTATCGATTCGATAATCTTTTTCCTCTTTCCAATTTTTCGATTCATCAATTTTTTCAATTTTTAAATTTCTCAATTTTTAGTTTTACAATGTTTCAGTTTTTCGTTTCTTTCGCTCTTCGGTTTTTGCTTTTTCGATTTTACAATTTCTTGGTTTTTGGTTGTAAATTTGAAAAATCAAAATAAAAAAACGAAAAAGTATAAAATGAAAACTTTGAAAAACAAAAATTGGAAATCAAAAAATGAAAAAAATTGACGCAAAGAAAAACTGAAAAATCGGAAGATTAAAAATTAAGAAAATGAAAAATTGAAAAAGTGTAAAATCTAAAAAACGAAATATTGTTGAAGAAATCGAAAAACCGATTAACTGAGAAGTCCAAAAAATTTCAATTTGGCAATTTTTAGATTTCTGATTATTCGTTTTTTCCGGATTTCTTTAATTTTCAATACATATTTCGATTTTACAAAATACATATATTCCGTTTACTGAATTTTGCACTTTTCCAATTTTTCTCAATTTTTCGATTTTTAAGTTTCTCAATTGTCGATTTATAAGTTTCCCAATTTTTAATCTTTTGATTTTTCAATTTTTCGTTTCTTTAATTTTTCGATTTGCAATTTTTTAATACTTAATTTTTTTTGTTTCTTCAATTTTACGATGTAACCACGATTTTTCATTTTAAATTTTTTTTTGATATTTCAATTTGTAGATTTTACAATTTTTCGATTACGAGTTTTCAATGTTCTGATTTTTAAAATTTTTTTTTGCAACAAAAAATTTTTCAGTTTTGGGATTTTCAGGTCTTTAATTTTTAATTTTTCAATTTTTCGATTTTTCTTGCCTTCAATTTTTGAATTTTTTAATTTTGATTCTTTAAATTTACAACTAAAAGACCAAGAAATTGTAAAGTGGAAAACGCGAAAAAGCAAAAAATTGCAGATCGAAGATTGGAAGAAACGATAAAATAAAACATTGAAAAACTAAACATTTTTCGATTTACCACTTTTTCGACTTTACAATTTCTTGGTCAATTTTTCAAGTTTTCGATTTGCAATTTTCGGTTTTTCACCTTTCAAATTTTTTAATCTTTCGTTTCTCCAATTTTTGATTTCCACTTTTTCTACTTTTCATTTTAAATATATAATAATAATCATAATTTAAAAAAAAATAACATTTTCAATTTTCCGATTTATAATTTTTGAATTTCTCAATATTTAATTATTATTTAACTTTTCGACCTTTCGGTGTTACAATTCTGACGATTGTAGAATTCTTCGATTATACAATTTTTGGTTTTCCAATTTTTTGTGTTGGTTCAGTTTTTCAATGTTTCAATTTTTAGATTTTCCAACTTTTCGAATAAAAAAAAAATCGTGATATCAAAAATCGAGAAACTTAAAAATAGAAAACTTGAGAAAGTTAAAAATCGAAAAAATGAAAAAAATCTAAAAAGTGCAAAATCGAAAAAACGGAAATATTAACAAATTAAAGAAATCGGAAAAAAACGAATAATTTGAAATCCATAAATTGCCAAATCGAAAATTTTCAGGATTTCTCAATTATCTGGTTCAAATACATATTTCGTTTTTTTGATTTTGTGTTTTTCTATTTTTCAGTTTTTAATCTTCCGATTTTTCAATTTTTCTTTGCGTCAATTTTTTAAATTTTTTGATTTCCAATTTTTGTTTTTCAAAGTTTTCGTTTTATACTTTTTTTTTTTTGTTTTTTTATTTTTGATTTTTAAATTTACAACTAAAAAACCAAGAAATTGTAAAATCGAAAAAGCAAAAAATCGAAAAATTGCAAATCAAAGAGCTGAAGAAACGAAAACTTGAAACATTGAAAAACTGAAAATTGAGAAATTTAAAATTTAAAAAATTGATGAATCGAAAAATTGGGAAAAGGAAAAAGATTATCGAATCGATACAAAGAATTGGAAAACCAAAAATTGTGGAATCGAAAAATTCTAGAATCGTCAAAATTGTAAAATCGAAAAACTGTAACACTGAAAGATCGAAAAATTAAATATCGAGAAATTCAAAAATTAAAAACCGGAAAATGGAAATGGTGAAATTTTTAAACAATTATGATTAGTATTACTACATATTTAAAATGAAAACTAGAAAAATTGGAAATTAAAAACTGAGAAACGAAAAATTAAAAAATCTGACCGTTGAAAAACTGAAAATTGCAAATACAAAAATTGAAAAATTTTCCGTTTGAAAGAAGAAAAAATTTAAAAATCAGAACATTGAAAAATAAGGAAAATAAAAGACCGAAACGAAAAATTGTAAAATGGAAAAATTGAAAAATCGAAAGGTTGAAAAACTGAAAATTGAAAACTCGTGAAACTGTAAATCGAAAAATTGTAAAATCTACAAACTGAGTCATCAAAAAAAATTTTAAAATGAAAATTCGAACAGTTACATGTTGTAAAATTGAAGAAACAAAAAAAATGAGACATTAAAAAATGCAAACCGAAAAATTGAAGAAACGAAAAACTGAAAAATCGAAAACTCGAGAAAGTTAAAAATCGAAAAACTAAGAAAAATCGAATTAAAGAAATCGGGGAAAAACGAATAACTGGAAATCCAAAAATTGCCAATTTGAAAATTTTTGGATTTCTCAATTACCCGGTTTTCCGATTTCTTTAATTTTCAACACATATTTGGATTCCGTTTATTAGATTTTGCACTTTTTCGATTTTTCAGTTCTTTGCTTTTTAATCTTTCGATTTTTCAGTTCCTTGATTTTTAATCTCTCGATTTTCTTGTTTTTCATTATTTATGTTTTTCAAAGTTTTCATTTTATATTTTTTGTTTTTTTTATTTCTGATTTTTTAAATTTACAACTAAAAAGCCAAGAATTTGTAAAATCGAAAAAGCGGAAAATCGAAAAATTGCAAATCGAAGATCTGAAGAAACGAAACATTGAAACCTTTAAAAACTTAAAATACGGAAATTTAAAATCGAAAAAATTGATGAATCTAAAAATTGGAAAGAAGAAAAATTGACCGAATCGACACAAAAAATTGGAAAACCAGAAATTGTAAATTCGAAAAATTTTAGAATCGTCAAAATTTGTAAATTCGAAAACTGTAACACTGAAATATCTAAAAAAAAATTTAAAAATTATGATTGTTATTACATATTTAAAATGAAAACCAGAAAAATTGGAAATCCAACACTGAAGTAAACGAAAAATAAAAAAATCTAAACGTTGAAAAAACAAAAAATTGAAACCGAAAATTGGAAATCGAAAAATTGCAAAATCCAAAAAATGAAAAATTTTACATTGAAAAAAAGAAAAAATTTTAAAATCAAAACATTGAAAAACCCAAAAATTGGAAAAATAAGTAGAATAACATTACATTACAAAATCAAAAACCGAAACGAAAAATTGCAAATCGAAAAATTGAAAAATCCACAATCTGAACAATTTGAAAAATTCCAAAGTTGGAAAATTGAAAAAATGATGAAATAAAATTCTTTTGTGGTTTTAACTTTACAGAGGCTATCAGAAAACAAAAATCGCATTTTGTATAGTTAAATATGTTGAAGTTTAGTCGAAATGACCATCGACTAATTTTTCCCTCTCTGTTGGAAACAATTAAATCCCGAACCCGCGAACAAAACCGGTTGTCCCGTTTTAAAATCGGACATGTCGAGCGCCCACCGCTGCATCAGTCAGAATTAAAAAAATCTCATTTGTGGCCGGCTTTTGTGAGATTTATTGCCAACGACAGCGAATTTTCAGATTTGATGGAGTAACAATTTCTCGGGTTCAGTCGAACGAAAAACTTTTACAACGCAACCTTTCGGAACTGGCGAAGCGTCAAAAAGGCCGAAAGGTATTTTATTAAATTCCAATTGGTCAATACAATTTTTGTTGAATTGATCTCTTATTTGGGGCCAGACCTCGTCAATAAAGAGCACCTACTTTGCAAGATGATTGAGTCGAGAGGTGATTTATATGGTGATCGCAGCAGAATTTTCCTTTTCAATTATCTCCCGTATGGAGTTTTTTGGTCAGCTATTTTTTTAAGTTATTGCTTCTTGTATTGCTTTCCCTTTTGACGTCAGCGAAGTTTCCGATTCGGTCCAGTGGCTGTCCTTTCGCAGTCAAAGCACGGAATTAGAGCTCGCATTGAGTGCTTTGGAGAGTGGGTCAAAGCGTGATTGAATCGTGTTAAATGTGATCCAGCAGAGTAAATACAATTTATTCGATTAAATAGGTTAATTCAGACGCTACTCGACAATATTTCGCCTACTCGCCATGTTGTCGATGGGCCGGCCATAAAACCGGATGGAACTATTAGATTTTCCTCACAATAGCTTTAAGAGCCCGAACGGAAATTTATGGATCCGGGTTTTAATCCGAAAGAGCCGAATACGAATCGACGTCATTCTCCTTAGCGAGCTTTCGATGTAAAAATTATTAATATTGAATTTCATTTGGGAAAAAACCGGATTTAATAAAACCGGAACTAAGTCTCGTTTTCCGTCTCCAGAAAAAAGTGTAACTTATTTGACTGCGACCCAGCTTGTTTTAATAAACACTCGAGTCGAACTTTGATCTCGGATACGCAACCCGCACATCACTCGTAGTAATTAAAACTAGTTATATCAGCGGGAATCGTAAAGTTTTAACTATGCGGTCGTCAAACTTCTACCCTACACTAATCTACTCACTCCAACCTGGAGCAGGCACGATGAGTCCGGAAATCATCTCCTCGCTGATGGCGGGCGGCTCCGAAGGGGGCGGCGGACACACCAAACTTTCGATTATGTCGTCCGTGGCCCGCAGGATCCCGGCCAAATCGGGCGGTTCGGTCCTGGACGACCTCATCATCATGCACAAAGCCAACTCCTCTTGGAGGACGCTCTCCAAATACATCATGTCCAGGTCGGACACAATGGCGCCGTTGATCACCATGATCTCGTCGCCCTTTATTATGCCTAAACAGGAACGGAATTAGCCCTCGAAGAAACTGATCGTCTAAAGTGGCCAAAATTAACCTGATGTTACCGAATTAAAGAATTAGCTTCCGCCCTCCCATTTTTAGCCTGTTTTCGTCACCGTAACGTAATTTCACCCTAAAATCCACGGACTCACCGTTTTGCATCGCCACGCTCTTGTCCTCCACCCTGCTGACGTAACAGCAGAGCTCGTCTTGTCGGTCTGCGTTCTCCACGAGTTCCGCCTCCACGCTGAACCCCCACATCTGCTCCAGGGTGCTCCTGGAGAGCTCCACTTGGTACAGGATCTTGGCGCAGACTTCGACCACCTCGTGGGTGTGCAGCTGCGACAGAAGAAGATGAAGCACTTCTTGGTTTACGGAAATTGGGGGGCAATCAATAACGCCTGATTTAATTATCTCCCGGGTCAATATAATTTCGTATGAAATATGCGTCATCAAGCTGGTGGCAACCCTGGAGGTAATTTGAGGTCGCCGATCAATATAGTAATTATGTGTACAAATTGCAGGATTGCAAAATTTCCGATTGTGACAGGGGGCGGGGGAAAATAAAGATTAAGTGGATTTGGCGAAATTGTTAATGGGGTGAGTGAAAAGAGTGGTGTATAGTTAATTATTACATTGTCTGGCTAGTAAAAGAGGGTCAAAACCCTGTGTCTTTTCGTTTATTTATTCAATTTTTCAAATTTTCAGGCTTTCATTTTTCAATTCCATGATTTTCCACGTTTGAAATTTTTCAATTTGCAGTTTTTGGATTTCCAGTCTTACAATTTCTCAATTTCTTTAATTTTCAATATTTTGATTTTACAATACATATTTCTTTTTTTTTATTTTTCACTTTTTCGAATTTTAAGTTTTTCAATCTTTCGATTTTTCAAATTTTCGTTTCTTCAAATTTTCATGTTTGATTTCACTTTTGACATTTTTCAAGTTTTCATCGTGAACTTTTTCGTTTTTTTATTTTTGATTTTTCAATTTTACAGTTTCTTTTGCGATTTTTCGATATTACAGTTTCTCATTTTTCGATTTTTTACATTCTCAGTTTTTAATTTTTGTCATTTTCAATTTTTCGTTTCCTCAATTTTTCATGTTCCGATTTTTATTTTTCAGTGTGTCAAATTTTTAATTTTTATTTACTCGATTTATATCACAATCGTCCGTTTCTTCATTTCCTTTATGTTCAGTGTTTTTTTTCGATTTTACAATTTTTCATTTGTTCAATTTTTCAAATTTTCCGGCTTTGAATTTTCAGGTCGTAAATTTTTAAATTTTTAAATTTTTCACTTTGCAGTTTTTGGATTTCCAGTCTTTCAATTTTGCAATTTCTTTAATTTTGAATATGTCTTATTTCATAATTCATATTTGTTTTTGGTTTTTCACTTTTTCGATTCTTAAGATTTTTCAAGGTTTTATTTTGTTATTATTCGTTTTTTATTTTTGATTTTTTAATTTTACAAATTCTCGACTTCCAAAATTTTTAATTTTTCGTTCCTTCAATTTTTCGGTTTGCGTCAGTTTTTCAATCTGGCAATTTTTCAGTATTACAGATTTTCATTTATCGATTTTTCAGTTTCTCAATTTTTAATTTTTCCCTTTTCCAATTTTTTGTTTCCGATTTTTATTTTTCATTTTCCTGATTTTTTAATTTTCACGTTTCCGATTTTATATCACAATTTTCCTTTTTTGATTTCCTTTATTTTTTTACTGTTTCTTTCGATTTTACAATTTTTCCTTTATTAAATTTTTCAAATTTTCAGGTTTTTAGCAATTTTTATGCAAATTTTCAAGTTTGATTTTCACTTTGTACATTTTTCAAGTTTTTATTATACACTTTTTCGTTTTTGTATTATTTGATTTTTCAATTTTACAATTTGTCGACTTCCAAATTTTCCAATTTTTCAATATTACAATTTCTCATTTTTCCATTTTTCACATTCTCGATTTTTAATTGTGCCCTCTTTCAATTTTCCGTCCCCTCAATTTTTCAACTCAACGATTTTTATTTTGCATTTTCCTGATTTTTTACTTTTCATTTTCTCAATTTTATATCACAATTTTTTGTTTTTTCAATTCCTTTATTTTTTGTTGTTTCTGTCGATTTTTAAATTTTTCATTTCTTCAAATTTTCGAATTTTCAGTTTCTCAATTTTTCGTTTCCACAATTTTTCATGTTCCCGAATTTTATTTTTCAATGTGGTGAATTTTTAATTTTTATTTTCTCGATTTATATCACAATTGTCCGGTTCTTCATTTCCTTTATGTTCTGTGTTTTTTTTTTCGATTTTACAATTTTTCATTTGTTCAATTTTTCAAATTTTCGGGCTTTGAACTTTCAGTTCGTCCATTTTTCAATATTTAAATTTTTCACTTTACAGTTTTTGGATTTCCAGTCTTCCGATTTTCCAATTTCTTTAATTTTGAATATTTCTATTTCATAATACATATTTCTTTTTTTTTATTTTTCACTTTTTCGATTCTTAAGGTGTTTCAAGTTTTCATTTTGTAATTTTTCGTTTTTTATTTTTGATTTTTCAATTTTACAATTTCTCAACTTCCAAAATTTTCAATTTTTAGTTCCTTCAATTTTTTGGTTTGCATCAGTTTTTCAATTTGGCAATTTTTCAATATTTTCCGATTTTTCAGTTTCTTCATTTTTAATTTTTCTCTTTTCCAATTATTTGTTTGCGATTTTTATTTTTCATTTTCCCTACTTTTTAATTTTTACTTTTTCGATTGTATATCACAAAATTCCTTTTTTTGAATTCCTTCCCTTTCATTATTACAATTTCTCATTTTTCCATTTTCCTGATTTTTTATTTTTCATTTTCTCGATTTTATATCACAGTTTTTTGTTTTTTCATTTCCTTAATTTTTGTTGTTTCTTTCGATTTTCCAATTTTTTGTTTATTCAATTTTTCAAATTTTCAGGCCAATCAATTCCAATTCGTCGATTTTCCAATTTTTAAATTTTTCAGTTTGCAATTTTTGGGTTTCCACCCCTTTTTTACTTTTTGGATTTTCAGTTTTTCGTTAAACTTTAGATTTCTCAAATTTTCGACAGTTTTATCCTTCGATTTCTTAATTTCTTTTCAACTTTTCGATGTTTTAATTTTTCTTTTTTAAAATTTCATTTTTTTTTATTTCTCGGTTTATCGAATTCAGATGTTTGGATGTTTTGATTGTTCAATTTCTCAATTTATCAATTTCTCAATTTTTTTCTATTTCTCGATGTTTCGATTTTTGGATTTCTCGGTTTTTCGATTTTTCAACTTTTCGATGTTTCGATTTTTCAGTTATCTGATTTTTCAATTTTTTTAAATTCTGGAGTTTCGAATTGGCGATTTTTCAGTTTTTCGATTTTTAAGTTTTAGATTTTCGAATTTTTCTTCTTTGATTCTTAAGATTTTTCAGGTTCTCATTTTGTAATTATTCGTTTTTTATTTTTGATTTTTCAATTTTACAATTTCTCGTCTTCCAAAATTTTCAATTTTTCGTTCCTTAAATTTTTCGGTTTGCATTAGTTTTTCAATTTGGCAATTTTTCAATATTACGGATTTTCATTTTTCGATTTTTTAGTTTCTTAATTTTTAATTTTTCCCTTTTCCAATTTTTTGTTTCCGATTTTTATTTTTCATTTTCCCGATTTTTTAATTTTCACTTTTTCGACTTTATATCACAATTTTCCTTTTTTGATTTCCTTTATTTTTTGTTGTTTCATTTATTCATTCATTCATTTTTCAAATTTTCAGGTTTTTAGCAATTTTTCTTCAAATTTTCAAGTTTGATTTTCACTTTGTAGATTTTTTTAGTTTTTATTATACACTTTTTCGTTTTTTTATTTTTGATTTTTCAATTTAAAATTTATCGACTTCCAAATTTTCAAATTTTTCAATATTACAATTTCTCGAGAGCTCGTAAAGTGTGGACGCGTTGCAAGTTACTCGATTAAAAATGAAATGCAAAAAGTGTAAAGCCAGTTTAATAAGTGGTGTAAAATGCAATGTTTGTTTGTCTTATTATCACACAAGTTGTGGAAAGTTGCTCAGTAAAGGGAAGTTCAATTCTGAAGATGTTATATTGTGCTGTAATCGACCCTGTTCTCCGTTTACCGAAGACACTACTCCTGAGCCAAATGATATCATCGATTTATCAAACATCACTGAACCAGTTGATGCGACCATGTTTAAGTATGTCATGCAGCAGAAAGATGTGATCATTGAAGAACTACGGTCTAAAATCGATCTCCTACAAGAAAAAATTTGCCTTCTAGAACAACTGGAAAAAGAACGGCAAAAACTCTCCCAGTCCTCTATCACACCAGTCGCTGCTAAGCAAGATAAGCAAAAGGTAAACAAGGAAAATGGTGGAAGTTCTGTCAAAGTTTCTGTCAAAGGTTTAAGAAGTCCTGCGATGTCATCAAAAAGTCCTGCGATGTCATCTAAAAGTCCTGCAATGTCATCAAAAAGTCCTGTGATGTCATCACCCAACATAAAATCTATACAGCCCACAATGAAAGTACAGCCAAAGGCTCTTCCAAAACGCCATAATGATGAATGGAATCTAGTTGAGAAGAAAAAACGTAAAGCTGTAGTTGGTTGTTTCGCTGCTGCAGGTTGCAGTTTGAAAGCTATACCAAAACTAATGGATCTGCATGTTTATAGGTTACACCCTGATACCAAAAAGGAAGACGTACTAACGTTTGTTAAATCTCATTTTCCCGAAGCAAAATGCGAGGAACTGGAAGCTAAACACAAAGGCGAATATTCATCTTTCAAGCTGTCTGTATATGCTGACAATTTCGGAAAAGCCCTGGATCCCAACATCTGGCCTGTAGGAGCATGTGTTCGCAAGTTTTTTCATTTTAAAAAAATTAACGAGTAAAGCGGTAGTTAGTGATAGCTATTTTTCAATTTTCCATTTAAATGTACAATCGATTAGGAACAAAGTTGATGAAGTAGAGGTAGTTTTACATAACATTGAAGAATCTTATGATGTTTTATGTTTTACAGAACATTGGTTAACAAACTATGAGTTGGATTTATTAAAATTGGGTAGTTTTAAGATAGCCTCTGCCTATACCAGGAAAGATAATGGTTATGGCGGTGTTGTGATACTAGTAAACGATAAAATTAAATACCAAGTTATTGATGTTTCAAAGTTTTGTAATGTAATTGACATTGAGCTTGCAGCCATTAAAGTTAATAAACCCAAACTAATCATAATAACTGTATACAGAGCACCAAAAGGCAATCTGGAAGTTTTATACTCTAATTTGACTAATTTATTTAATTTTATCAATATAATCGATTCAGATGTTATTATTA